GATTTCTCAGAGCAGAAACTAAAGCTGATGCTCTCTGTGTGTTTTTCCGTCATCTCAGGGCACCTTCATGTGTAAGTTGTGTAGCTGATTTCATCCATTATATCGAAAGATCTGAAAAAGTCCACACATTTACCCGCCCATAAACCCTCTCCTTGATGAAATCAGGACAGAAGTGGTTGAAAGTGGACAGAAGAGACGGATTACGTGTATGTGTCTCCCTCGTTTACTTGTGATCCGATCGACTGAAACGCACCTATATACCAGCTGTAAACAGGCCTAAGAGATTCATTGTGAAGTATACACAGCTTTGTTTATTATAGATGGCGTTTTTGCATGAGTGTAGATCTCAGTGAGAAAGTTGCTAACAACACTAATCACATATATCCATATTTATTACATTCATTCATTTAGCTGATGCTTTTATATGTCAGAGGTTGCACGCCTCTGGAGCAATAGGGGTTAAGTGTCTTGCTCAGGGACACATTGGTGTCTCGCAGTGGATTCGAACCCGGGTCTCTCACACCAAAGGCATGTGTCTTATCACCACCCCTGAGGAAAACCCACAAATAGTGAACATTCATGATTGACCGCACAGCTATATTTTTCACTATTGAGATGTCAAATAGCAGAGAGACGAACTGTTTGCACAGGATGTGTTTTGTGTGAACACAGCGTCAGACACGTGGATTTGGTCATTTAGGTCAAGTTTTTCTTCCTGTCTCACACCATCAACACTGTTTTCACTTAAAAACTTCAACTTTGAACTCATTTTTTGACGTTTGCTCTCTGTAAATGTGGAACATGTCGCATGACTGCACAACATGCAAAAATGCACTGTACATTACATTTAAAGCTTGAATTTCACAGATGGGAAGAAAATTCCTGATGTATTGCGTTATGTGCATTAAATTTGCATTACTTTTTATTGCTAATTTTTTGATTATGGTGCCAAATTGCGATGTAAAAAGAACATCCCTAATAAAGTCAGCGGCTGCATGTGTGTGTGTGTGTTGGTGTCGGTTCTCATCAGAGCAGTATTGTGTATCGAGGCTTTAACAAGCTGCTCATCAGAGCTGATGTACAGTACGGATGCAGTCTTCTGGAATGAGACGATCGCTCCCGACAGATGTGCTTGTTTTTTCCCTCCCGAACTCTTCTGTTTTTGCCAATAGCAGCGATCGGCACAGGAAGCGTGGATTGGGAACAAAGCAGGTTCATGTGTCGTTTGCACACACACACGGCTGTTACTGCTCTTGTGTTTGTGCCACATGTGCTGAATATTTCAGCAGCCTACGGTTATTCACGGCTCCGCGATCCCCCCCGCCTCTCCGTGTCTATCTGTGGTCTGAAAGTGCCCTGCACAGTAAACAGTGTGAGATAGATGACTGCGTTCTTTCAGGGCTGGTGTGAGAGGAACAGTGTGTGTGACAATTCATGGCTCTGTCACGCTGTACTCGGCTCTCTGTACAACACCCTCTCTTGTTTCCTGAGCACAGTCCTATTGAAATGTCTGCTCTTCACCATATCCCAGCATGCACTAAATACTGGATATAGAAGTGTTATTAGACAAACAGTTATTTTAATGCAAAAGGTTACAGAATAATTAGCTTCCATCCATTATCTAATAAACAAAATGTTATTTTATTTATTTTTATTTTATTATTTTAAGTTTAAGTTTAATTTATTTAAGAGTTTGACAAGGCAGGATATTGAAGAACAAAACCCTGAAATGTATCAAACAGAACACATACTCAAGGCACCGGTATATACCTAATTAAAAAGTTAAAAATAAAAATAAAAATAGAAGAAGCAACCAGGAGGAGTTTTTTTTATTATATTTTTTTAATGCAAAAAGCGTAGAAAAATTCCATACAGCATCATTTGTTGGTGTTTGTTTTTAAAAAAAAATTAAATATACAAAAAAAGAGTACAATTCTCCATACAGAATCATTTGCATTTGTTGCCATTATCTAACAGACAAAATGTTATTTTATTTTAAATTATTTTATTTATTTATTTTTTTAAAACATTTTATTTATTTATTTTATTTTATTTCTTTAATGCAAAAAGTGTAGTAAAATTCCATACAGCATTGTTGGTGTTTGTCCAACAGACAATATATATATATATATATATATATATATATGCAAAATAAATAAAAAAAGAGTATGATTCCATACAGAATCATTTGCATTTGTTGCCATTATCTAACAGACAAAATGTTATTTTATTTTAAATTATTTTATTTTTTTATTTTTTTTAAACATTTTATTTATGTATTTTATTTTATTTCTTTAATGCAAAAAGTGTAGTAAAATTGCATACAGCATTGTTGGTGTTTTTCCAACAGACAATATATATATATATATATATATATATATATATATATATATGCAAAATAAATAAAAAAAAGAGTATGATTCCATACAGAATCATTTGCATTTGTTGCCATTATCTAACTAAAAAAATGTTATTGTATTTTAAATTATTTTATTTTTTTAACATTTTTTTTAAAAATTTATTTCTTTAATGCAAAAGCATAGTAAAATTCCATACAAAATTGTTGGTGTTTGTCCAACAGACAAAAAAAAAAAAAAAAAAAAAGATATATATATATATATGCAAAATAAATAAAAAAAAGAGTATGATTCCATACAGAATCATTTGCATTTGTTGCCATTATCTAACTAAAAAAATGTTATTGTATTTTAAATTATTTTATTTTATTTTTTTTAACATTTTTTTATAAAATTTATTTCTTTAATGCAAAAGCATAGTAAAATTCCATACAAAATTGTTGGTGTTTGTCCAACAGACAAAAAAAAAATAAAAATAAAAATATATATATATATATGCAAAATAAATTAAAAAAAAAGAGTATGATTCATTCCATACAGAATCATTTTTGCCATTATCTAACAGACAAAATGTTATTTTATTTTAAATTATTATTATTTTTTTTAACCTTTTATTTATTTTATTTTATTTTATGTCTTTAATGCAAAAAGCATAGTAAAAATTCCACACTGCATCGTTGGTGATTGTGCAACAGACAAAAAAAAAAAAAAAAAAAAAATATATATATATATATATATATATGCAAAATAAATTTAAAAAAGTACAATTCCATGCAGAATCATTTGCTTTTGTTACCATTATCTAACAGACAAAATGTTATTTTATTTTAATGCTAAAAGCATACAATTCCATACAGCCTAACTTGTTGGTGTTTATCTAAAAGACCAAATTCTATTTTTATTTCAATGCAAAAAGAATACAAAAACAATTCCATGCAGAATCATTTGTTGGCATTATCTAACAGATTTTATTTTTTTTATTGCAAAAGGTATTGTGCTGTGCAACTCGATGGATCATCATTTGTTTGCTGTCTTACAGACAAAATGTTATTATTTTATTTCATTGTAGCTTCAAGCTTCATTTATTGTTGTGTGTGATCTAACAAACAAGTGTTGTTAGGTGACAGTCTGGCTTGTATCAGGGGTCATATCAAGGTCAAGATTGAATATGTGCCTGCAGTCAGTCTCGTGTTTTTGATAACGTTGACAATATAAAGCATTTATTGTCAATGGCAGGCCAGTAAATTATCTCTTTACCCATGCAGTGAAGCCCCCTTTGTATGGTCATTGAGTGTGTGTGTGTGTGTGTGTGTGTGTGTCAGAGGATTTGATTGTGTATTCCCACTTCCGCTATGGTATTTTTAATATTTAAGTTTATCATTTCACATGATTAATTCTGTCTGGGATGGATTCAGCTATAGACAGAAGCTGCAGACTTTTCCCACAATCCTTTTCTTCTCGTTAAAGAAGTTAGATTGCAGTATCAGAATGTAACTAACGTATAAATGTTAGCTTAGATTTAGTGTGAGTGAGCGGTTGAACTTTCTTGTGCGAGTCACAGCTCTGGTTGGGTTGTGTCAGTGAGTTCTGATGGTTTAGTCATGTGCACTGTTGGTTGTAATGCAGATTACTGTAATCAGATTGTTTTTTCTTCTGTAGCCTGCTCTCTCTTCTTCCTGTTAATTGCACCGTGTTTCTTTTGGTTAACACTAGAGATGCACAGATGTGTGTGTTGCCGATATTTATCAATTTAAAACCATTGACTATAGCATGAAAAAGCCCAATAAAACAAACTGATTTATAAAATAAGACACTCTCTGAACTTTTGAAATGAATGTGTGACAATGACATTTAGTTGCTCATTTCCTGTTAAGGCCGTAAAACAGTATCTCTATGGATTTCTGGCCATGATTCAATGCAAATTTATTTTTGCTAATTAATTCAGGTGTAATCCTAATTTTTATTTATTATAAATGTTATATCGTTGTCTTCGATAAAGTTTTGTCTATCCATTTATGGTGTTTTTTTTTTATTTTGGGGGTATTTTTGAATTTATTTACTTCAAAAAGTACCATATTTTCTATGTAAATTATGCTTATTTTTATGTTTTATTTTTTTAAATTTTTTTTAACTACATTAAAATATCATTCCCATAAGTTCTTAGAGCTAAAACCTAAAGATGAAGTGACTTTGCTGTCACCTGGTGTCTTATTTTAGAGTGCTCTAAATTCATTTCTATGGGTGCCCATTTTTGACCCAAATACAAGATTAAGGAGTTTTTTTTCACCCACTTAACATTGTAGAATTGAGTCAAAAACAAATGGTGTGTGTTCAGGAGGCAAACTTAGGAAAAGTAGCCAAGTCTTGTACCGCTCAGATCAAGGGAAGTATTTTTTAAAAATAAATCAAAACTATTTTGCCCACATTTGTCCAGAATACGGTTTTAGGTTATTTTGACTGGGCAGTGTATATGTGTCATGTATGGTAAATAAACAGATTTGAAATAGCTCTTCTCCAGAGATTGTCTAACATGATTAATCTATACCGAGTAATTAGCAAGGAAATCCCATTATTACAATGTAGAAATAGTAATTAATAGTCTGTTTCGTGGTGACGACCCTCAAACTGCTCATGTGTTTCCAGGCTCAGCTGGTGTCAGGCCACGCCGGCATGAAATTCACAGTGCTGGAAACACTGGACCACATAAAAGAGGAGTTTCAGCTGTTCCAGGCCCAGTATCACAGGTACACATCACAATATTCACACAAATGTGAGCTCAACTGAAGCAAAAATCATAAAGCTTCCCATGTTTACTTCATTTTTTGTAATTGCATTTACATTTTGTTGTGATTTCGATCTGTATGGATGATCTACTTCCTCTCTGTAGTGCAGTTGGGATCACCTGTGCAAAGCTAATGAGATTATCAAACCGTAATGCTCTAAAATCACTCCAGCGACTAGAAGCCGATACAGACTATTAGCCAGCTATCCAGTTAGCGTAATCCAGATTGTCTCGTTAGGAGCAATTTCAAAAGCTACTAAACGTCTTTCTTTAGAACAGTAAACATCAATGTACATCACAAAGCGTGATCAGATTTAAGAATAAAATACATAGTTGAAAACACAAATATATTATGTAGAGGTTGTTCCATTTCATGCGGATATTGTGGTGTCCTTAACTGACCAATGAGAGCTGTACGAGGACGTGTCACATGACCTGAACTCTGATGAACTGTGTTGTTTTCTGTCTTTCAGCCTAAAGCTGGAATGTGAGAAGTTGGCGAGTGAGAAAACAGAGATGCACAGACATTATATCATGGTGAGAGTGATTTCCAGCAACATTACCCATAATTCCAAGATGTGATGAGCTAATAGTAGTGCTTGATTAAGTGGTTAGTTTGCTTATGACAGTATGTACAGTCATATATACCTGGAAATACACAAAGTTTAAGGATTTTGAATGTCCTTGTGAAATATTTAAGATTCTGCCAGATTTTCTTGCTTCACTGAAGCTCAAGATGCTTTTTGCAACATTTCATTTAAAGGGATAGTTCACTCTGAAATTAATTTTTGATATGTTTTATCTTACCTCAAGGGCATCCAAGATGTAGGTGTCTTTGTTTCCCCAGTATTTTCAATTTTTATATTTTTAGGTCAAACCGTTCTTGTCAGTCAGATATAATGGAGGTCTATGGTCACCACCTCAAAGAGCATGCACAGAGAAGTCCAAATTAAACATGATTTAATGATTTGTAAATGTAAGTACACATTGATGGCCTGAGACACGAAACGAGCGGTTTGTGTGAGAAGATGAACAGTATTTATATCGTTTTTATCGTTTTACCACAGCTACATTCAAGTGATCTGAGGGCGCGGGTGCTTTGTGGCTGTGGTAACAAGAGGTAAAAACGTGATAAATACTGTTCGTTTTCTCACACAAACCGCTCGTTTCATGTCTTAGGCCGTCAATGTGTATGTCATGTTTAATTTGGACTTCTCTGTGCATGCTCTTTGAGGTGGTGACCATAGACCTCCATTATATCTGACAGACAAGAACGGTTTGACCTAAAAATTTCAAATTTTAAACTACTGCGGCCGGAAACAAAGACACCTACATCTTGGATGCCCTTGAGGTAAGCTAAAATGCACCAAAAATTAATTTCAAAGTGAACTATCCCTTTAAAAACAGTACAACATGGTGTTTGCAACAGTGCCAGGCTTCAATTCTCAGGGAATACAAAAACAGAGAAATGTATAAAGTCATCTCTACATCGATTACAATGACAGAGAAAAGAGTGTCAGGTCTTTAACTGGGAATATGGGTCATTTCTGGCCTGTGGTTACACACAGAGCATTTCTGTCATTTAGATCGATGTGATTGTGATTTATGTCATGTGATTTGAATGGCTTTGCTTTCTTCCACAGTATTATGAAATGTCTTACGGGCTGAACATTGAAATGCAGAAGCAGGTGAGTGACTGATGTGTCATTTACAGCCTGATTTCATTACAGATCTCTGTGTAATGAGGTTTATGGTATGAGGGCGAGTGATGGGGTCTGTTGGGACTAGATGTAACACTAATTGTAAGACCATCATCCTGAAACCACATGATCAAGGGCTTGGTTGGGATGGAACCGGGTTTTCTTTTCTTGTTTTTTGCTCACCATGGCTGCAATTATTTGATCATTAATACAGTAAAAACAGTAATATTATTACGATTTAAAATAAAATATGATCAATTAAAAAATGATTTGCCGCTCAAGAAACATTTCTGATTAGTATCAATGTTGAAAATAGTTGTGCTGCTTAATTTTTTTTTTTTTTTGTGGAAACCGTGACGACTGAACAGGATTATAAATAGATTTTTTGTAACATTATAAATGCATCAAGTTAATGCATTTATTCATTTCTTAAAAAAAAATAAATAAAATATTCTGAACCCAAAATGTACTGTAGTAAACATGCATCAACATGATTTTAATATGGTTTTAAACAGTTTTAACTCTTTAGGTGGCTTCTTAACTGTTGGCATTGCCGACAATAAAGAATAAATATGTTAGCATAACTATGTGAAACGTATAGACCATTTCACAAGATGTAAACAACACTGGTCCAGAAGCACTTCCTGTTTCAGTTTGTAAC